TCTGGAGCGCCACTGCACCCCAGTGCTTGTATCTAGGTGGCGCGGCATGACTGTTACCTCCATGAAATACAGTTTTCACGCGCCACCCGTTAGGAGCCTCCAAACTCCAGCTGCACGTTGTTTCTAAAGTGCCTGATCTTCCCCTGAGGACTGAAGCATCTCAGGACAGAAACGCCCATGGGTTCCCTCCTCATTGAACCCCATGTGCAGAGGGGACGAAAAGCCGACTGTGCCTTGTGAGAGGTAGTGGTACCTCTTGCATTCACTGGGTGCAGATGTGGAGGCTGTTTGGGAATGCTGCCTGAGGGGCAGTTGCCAGGCCACATGTCCCCAGGGGGAGTCACTTCCTAGCTCCATGTTCTACTGATCCATCCCACCCTACAACTGACATCATGTTCCTGATCTGAACCCCTGCTTCTCCCACTCCAGGGGTGCTGGCCCCATTCTGCTTGCTGCATGTTCTCAGCCTATAGGGACCACAAAGTAAAGAGCTGTCACCAGGGGACGTGAGAAGGTGGATGTGCCAGTCAGCATGGCTTCTCTGAATGTCTTCAAGTCTATACCTGTGGTTGGGCTGGGATGAAGCTCAGTGGTGGAGTCTTGTCCAGCACAAGTAAGGACCTGGATTTAAACCCCAGTCCAGAAAGGAAGAAAGGAAAGGAGGGAGGGAGGGAGAAAGAAAGAAAGAGGGTCCTGTGGGTGTTTCATGGTTCTTTTGTGTTCCTGGGAATTGCTTGAGACAGCTGTCAGTGACACCCCTGCTTGCATTGAGAGCCTAGAGTTGCACCTGAGATTCTGCAGAACAGAGAGGTTGGAAATGACCGTGATGGAACAGTGGGCGCAGTGAGGCTGGTGGTAGGGAGGGGCCCTGGTGGCTGGAGCTCTGGCTCACAGCACCGGCTCCATGTCTGATTCCTGGGGACTGTGATGGCTGGGGCCAAACCCGGCTTCTGGAGTAGTGCGGTGGCTTCTGGCTAGTGACCGAGCACACGGCTAGGGAATCATGAGCTCAAATGCAGGAGTGAAGAGCACACTATGCACCTTGCTGGAGAGAAAGAGTGAGGACAGAGTGGGTCCAGACAAGAATGAGAAGTCACAGGGTGAGGAACCAGTCTTGGCACCAGGAAGCCGGAGAGGGGACAGTTGTGGGTGAGGACCACAGTGGATGCAGGACCAAAGAGGGCCTGTGGAGGTGGGAGCTGGCAGGACCATCCCACCAGGCATAGGAAAAGGGGTGGGGGCAGCACATGATCATGGACTGCCACTTTTGTCCCGGCAACATAAACACTCAAACCTTTTGCCCACCTGGGGACAACATTTGCCGGGTTGCTTGTACCTAAAACACTCAGGGGTCACTCGAGGGGAACCAGACTAATTGGTCTGCATGAAATAACCCCACAAGAGACAGAAATACCTTTTTATTTGAGGGTGCTGACCTTAAGAGTTGCAGAAAGAGAGAGAGAGAGAGAGAGAGAGAGAGAGAGAGAGAGAGAGAGAGCGCGCACAGGCTGAGCACTTTTATCAAGGAGGTCAGGTTTCAAGGGGCTGATCCAGCTTCATGATGTCTGCTGTCAGCAGATTCACTGACATCTAGGTAGGCCACATCCCAGGGCACTTCCATGGAACATTCTATCCCAAACAGGGCAAGGGGTAATTTTACAAAGGAACAGGTGAGCGGAGCTCCACCCATGGGGCTGTAGGAAGGACGCCCATGCACAAGACACAGTCACTTGAACCCTAGAAGATGGGGCTATCAAGCAGCATGACCCCTGGATGCCACTTGCCCAGCAGGGGAGTCAGACTCAGTCACGTGCTCGTCAGCCTCCCACAGTGGACCAGGTGCCACTGCGTGAGGGGAAACATGGGTAGGTGGGGAAGGGTAAGGAACATGGGCTGGAAGCAGAACAAGAGGGCTCTCTGCCACCCAGATAACCAGGGGGGTGAAAACACATTCCCTTCTCATCTGTGAAGAGCAGGGATGGCAGCTATGCAGCTCGATATCTTGCTGCCGGCTGAGAGTCCCTGGACACACAAGGGATTTGACGCAACAAAAAGGACACAGTGCCCAGCTCCTAGTAAGATCCCCAGAGCCATCCCTACGGCCATGCCTCTGTCTCTGTCTTGCATCCCAGCAGGCCTAGGTCCTGGAGTCTGGGCTGCTCTTCCTATTTTCTCAACCTTCCAATCAGGTGGACTTGCACCCAGGTGTCACCTTTGTCCTGCTCACAGACTGTCAGAAAGGCCTCCTCCCCCTGCACGGTGCTCCCTGGCCTTCCCCCTCTGAGGGCTTACTAACACACTAGACCCTGCTCAGGGAAGAACTCTGCACCGGAGGATGCATCAGTGGAAGCCTGTGTCAGTTCATTCCTGCTGCCATAACAGGACACCTCAGCCTGGGTAACTGATCCATATCAGAAATCGGTTGCTCACTGTTCTGGAGACTGGAAATTCAAACTCCAGGTGCCTGCAGAGTCCACATCTGGTGAGGGTTGCTTCCAAGATGGTACCCTACTCCTCATGCAGTGGAGGAGCTGGAGGGCAGGCAGCTCTGAGGCCTCATGCCTAAGGTCCTGAACCCCTTTTGTGACTCAGCCACTTCCCCAAAGGCCTCCATGTTGACACTATAGGAGGATTAAGTTCAGCATGAACCACAATGACCTTCAAAACTAAAACAAAGAGGAGAGATACAGAAGAAAAAAAACCAGATCAGAATATCCAAAAGGTGCAATGTGTTTGTGAGGACAACTCGAGAAGGAAAAAGAGACAGAAAGGAGCAGGAGAAATACTGGAGCAAAAGAGAGTAAGAGTCTTCCCCACGCCAATATCAAACACTGAAGCACAGACCCAGGGAGCTCAGGGAAGGGACAAGGGCAAACTGTCCAAATGACACCTGAGTGAGGACTTTCAATCCACAGAGAATGAAGGATACAGAAAAAGATGCCAAAAGGATCCAGAAGGCTGTTAAAACAAACAAACAAAACAACAAAACAAAACAGAAAAACAAACCTTACCTATCGAGGAACAAAGGAAAGAGTTAATCTAAAAAACATTCAATCGAGAAGAGAATGGAGTGAATTCAAAGTGTGAAAAGGGGGGAAAACCCTTAGAATTCTGTACCCTGTAAAATTATTCTTCAAAAATAAAAATGAAATAAGACATTCTCAGACAAAATTTGAAGGAGCTTGGTATTAACAGACCTGCCTTGCGAAAAAGGTTAAAAGCATTTCTTCAGAGAGAAAGATTGTGCTTGTCAGAAGCTTGGTCTATATAAAAAGGAAGAGCATCAGGGAAGAAATCAATGAAGGTGAGATCAAATCTTCCATTTATCTTATTCTTAATATAACAGATGAAACTGTTCAAAATAATAGCAGAAATAATGGATTGGATTATTTATCAACATCAAGGGTCTAAATGCTCCAGTTAAAAGACAGATTGTCAAGAGAAACCCATCTTAACTATAAAAGAAAAGAAACCTATCTTAACTATAAAAATACACAGCTTAGAAGGAAATAGAGAAAATATATAATGTTAACACTAATCAAAAGAAAGAAAGAGTGGGTATTAATTTTTGGCAGAGCAGACTTCAAAGAAAGGAAAGTTATCAAGGATAAAGAAGGAAAGTACACAAAGATAAAGGATTAATTCTCTGATCTTTGACATGTATACACACCAGGTGAGGCAAAGATGGTAAAAATTACAAGAAGAAATAGAGGAATCCACTGTCATTGTTGTAGGCTTCAACACTCTGTCAGAAGGACAATTGCAGGAGGTAGAAAATCAGTAAGAACATATTTGAATTCAATAATATCATCAGTCAACTGGATTGACCTCTATAGACTACTCCATTTAACAATGGTGTAACACTGTCCTTCTCAAGTGCGTGTGAAACATTCACCAAGATGGACTATGTTCTAGGCCACAAAACAATCACAACACATGATCAGAACAAAAATTAAACAAAGTCTGCTCCTAGTCCACAGGGGTAGAAAACAAGTACAGAAAGATAACTGGAAAGTCCCAAACATTGAACATGAAAAATTATACTTCTAAACAACACGTGGATTAAGAAAGAAATATCCTGGGGCTGGGGATGTGGCTCAAGCGGTAGCACGCTCGCCTGGCATGCGTGCGGCCCTGGTTCGATCCTCAGCACCACGTACAAACAAAGATGCTGTGTCCGCCGATAATTAAAAAATAAATATTAAAATTCTCTCTCTCTCTCTCTCTCTCTCTCTCTCTCTAAAAAAAAAAAAAAAAAAAGAAAGAAATATCCAGAAAAATTTTAAAATATTTTGAGCAAAATGAAAACAAAAACACAACTTCTTAAAACCTGTGGGATGCCACGAAAACAGTGCTTAGAAGGAAATTTAGAACACTGAAGGCATACATTAGAAAAGAAGAGAGACCTAAAATAAATAATCTGAGTTTTCACCTTAGGAAACTAGGAAAAGAAGAACACATTAAATCCAAAGTTAGAAGAAGTGAAGGAATAATAAAAGTAAATCAACAAATCTGAAAACAGGAAATCAACTTTTTTTAAAAAGTGAGAGAACTTGGCTCTTTGAAAACTAGTTCTCTGAAAATATCTCTAGGCAGGTTAAGAGAAAAGCCAGAGGACACAAATTACTGATATCAGAAATGTAACAGGAGACATCACCACAGATCTCATGGACATGAAAGGACAGTAAAGGAACACTGTATGCATATGAACTCTATGCATGCAAGTTTGATAACCTAGATGAAATGAACCAATTCCTTTAAGAGTAACTATCAAAAATCACATGCCTGTAATCCCAGTGGCTCAGGAGGCTGAGGCAGGAGGATTGTGAGTTCAAAGCCAGCCTCAGCAAAAAGCAAGTCACTAAGCAACTCAGTGAGACCTAGTCTCTGAAT